TGGCACCCTGGATGCGGCTGCCCTAACAGGTCATCATTTCTCCAAGACAATCCCACCAGAACCACAACTGGAAACTTGAGTCCCTTCTCACGTCTGTGACCTCAGGCAAGAAGAATTGTTCACTAAATGAACCAGCTCTGACTTTCTCTGCTGTACCAGGGACCATGTGTTTTAACTATTTTGCAGGTTTGTAAAAACTTATTGCTTACCTTGAAGCATAAAAGTATTCTCATTTATATTTTTCTAATAGTGTTAAACTTTGTTCTGCACATTATTTCTTTGAAATGCCTTTAGCTGTATTTTTACTTATGGGGGTAATGTAGGACTCTGACTGTGGAGATCCAATTTCTCCCCCAAATTATTGACTAATCCATTATTTCTGCCCCTGTTCTTCATCGCCACCCCTGTGATCACTAAGGGTCCAGGCTCACACAGCCCTTTTTGTTCTCTCTCTTCTTTGCAATGTATGTGTCCACTTACACGTGACACTTTCTCTAAGAAACAGCTAGAGCTGGATTAGCTGTGTATGCACAAATTTACAAATTGGATCAAATCCGTATTTTGTCTATTCCTATGCCAGGAACAGAGTAGTCTACTTAGTTTAACTGTATAATAATTTGTGCTTTTTGGCAAGCAAATTTTCTTGGTTTTATTCCCCCAAATTATCTTGGCTTTATTTTATACAAGAATAAACCCTCAATATATATACATTTTTTATTTATAAGGTAATAAGTTACATGAACTGTGGTAGAAATGCATTGTGTATATTACAAAACATCCACAAAAATAAACGATTTAACCATATGTGATAAAAGCCAATACAAATAGTAGTTCTCACACTTTCTTCCTACACACCAATGTATTGTCTTCCGCTCCACACTTTGGAAACCAGAGCACCGCCAACACCAATGCCAATAATAGAACTCATTCATCCTATTTCCTAACTTAGCATACATCCCTAAGACAAACCATACTCAATGTCTTCTTTTTTTCACTAAATCAAATTCTCATAATCTGTTTATAGTACACTTTTTTTCATTCTATGATTTGCTTCTTAGCATTTGAAAGGACACTTGATGGTGTCTTTTCGTGTTCTTCAAAAGCTAGTGCCCCCACACCTGATGAATCCTAGGCTTGTTCAGCTCTTTAAATAGACCTTTGTGAGGAATGTCCAGGGAGCCCGACTGTCATCCTCTGGTGACTGAGAATACGAGTGTGGCCTTGTAGCGTTTCATTATCTTCACTGGTTGTAAACATGAAGTTAATGTTGTGAAAGGGCTTGGCCCCTGCCTGACATGTCCTGGGCGCTCTGGATGACGTTGTTGAATTTGAAATGACAAGTTCACTCCATGAAAGCTGCGCACACTAGAGACGAGGGAGGGGTGTTCGGATGCTCCCTCAGCTGCTCACGTCCTGTAATATTGCAGGAGTCACCTGCGTTTTGCAAACTGTTTTCTCATCCTTAATAATAAGAAACAAAGAGGCTTCTTGTAGGATGGGTTCTTCTTTCGTCTTTAAGTGTCTAAGCTTCTGTGTTTCATTAGCAAACCTATGACTTGGTTTTAAAAATGGGGTTAATAATTCTAATGAAAGACAAATGATTTTTTAAGAAAAAAATTGACTGGACACAGTGTAATAAAGATGTGAATTGGAGATAAAAGAAAGAAAAATTGTATCTACAGTCCTCTCATCAAAATATATCAATGCCTTTCTTCTTTTTGGTTTCCGGGCTTATCCATTTCACCAATCATTGTCCTCATGCGTACATCTAATTGGTTATGTGTGACGCAAATGAAGACGTCAGATTAGATTGTTTCTCAGATTCTGTGATGGCCAAAAGAGCACTGTCCTGGGTCAGATAAAGTTGCCAGAGTCTCAGAGGTTACATTAAAAGTGCAAACATCAGCACCTGGGTCTCTGCTCACCCCTCTGCCTGAGTCAGGATCTGCTCTCCCCAGCCCCTGCTCCCAGGCTGGCTGAGCTCAGCTCCCTCAATGAGGTGTCAGTCCTGGCAGCAGCAGGAAGACCCGGATGAGAGGAAGTCCTGCTCCCTCAAGCAACACCTGCTTCTCTTTTGCTGGAGACCAGGGGTGTCCTGAGGAGAACCTTCCAGACTCACCATGAGGGCTGAGAGGGAAGGCCCTGGCTGCTCTGACTGTGTCCTGAACAAGAGATTTCCTCTTTATATTTGTAAATGTGTCTCTTTTGGATGAGCATAAACTTTCGGTGCCCCTTAGAGAGCAGCACAGACACACCACAGCAGGAAGAGAAGTAGAGGAAAGGAGAACAAATGTCACTTGTTGAAATTACCTTCTAGGCCCAAGATGGTGCTGTTCCTGTCCAGGGTGCCACATAAGCAAACTGAACTTTGATAACTTTCCTGTCCCTGTAAATGCTGTGCTGCCAAGAAACGCAGTCTATCCAGCCAGCCAGTCCCCACCTGCCAGGAATCTGTGATGATTTCCCTGTTCTAAATAAGGTCAGCTACGCAACCTCAGACAATCACCTTAAGCCATGGTTTCTCTCCTTGGTTGCTGATTGACTTGCTCGCCTTATAAGGCACTCACTGACCTCCTGGCTAATCCTGCTCTCTTTCTGCATTGCTGCTTCTCAGGCTCCATAGAGCTCCTGCTGCCCACAATCCCTGGGATGGGGGGCTGCACTGCCTGTGAGGCGCTGTTCTTTCCAGTCCATAGATTGTGTTCCCTTGAACAGAGGCATCATCTCATTACTAAATTGTATTATTTTTCTAATTTGACACCCTGAAAATAGTATTTGCCTGGGGTTTAAACAGACTTCATTAATACTATGACTGGTTATTGTCAATAGTTGTTAAGCCTTAAATTTGACCAGTAATTGAATAACAATTCTTAGAATAATTGAGAGAAACATAGGTTTGAATGTTGACAATGTGAAATAACATAAAATTTTTTTCACACACCAGTAAACGGTTGTGGGTTTTGTACCCCAAAGCAATTTTTTCTTATTGGTGAAAATCTTGAATATAGAGAAAAATGGAAAGAAAACAGTCTATCCAGTTTCTCACCACCCAGTTTCTTGCTGTCTATATTGAGACTATCCACTTGTCCTTTTGCTATGTAGATGTCACCGCAATTGTCACTTTCTTTTCCACTTAGCATTTTACCACAAATGGGCAAGACATCTCTAGAAGCTATGAATGAGAGCCCTAGAATAACCTTTTAGCTGTAGGAGATCAGAATATTCCACCCCAAAATGTGTCTCTTTGCCTTGAGCATTTTTAAGAACAAAAGACTCTGAAAGAATCTTTGACCTTCCCCCATCTGTCTAAAAGAAATTAAGATAGAAGGCCTATTCCAGGAAGGAGCTAATACCTGAAGATGCCATTGTCTATAGATGGCCCATCAAACACTTATCTAACAAACGTTTGCTTTTCTATCTCCCCGTGAATTGCCTTCCTCCCCTTTGAAGTCCCAAATCACTATTCCCAACATCCTCATTTGTCTTTAGCAGATGATGGTATTTAATCAGGTGGCTTTGGCCATTCTGGTGAGTTACTCAGTTTTCATGGGTTTCTCCCATGAATACATGTTATAAAGCTTTGTTCAATTTTCTCCTGTTATTCTGGCTCATGTCAATTTAATTCTCATACTAGCCAGAAAGACCTAGAGGGTAGAGGAATTCCTCGGCTACGTAGTAAAGTATTCTATCGTTTTGTGTTTGGCCAACACGTCACCAATGAAGTGCAACCCAAAAGCCTACATGTGGGGACACTTGAGACTTGAATCTTGGTTACAGCTGAGCCTGTCTGGCTTTCATGTTTTTATTATAGAAGAGCTGCTCAGGATCTGGTGCTGCACGCTGAAGGACCCACAACTTCCCTCCCCTGGCCAACACCCCTTTCCAACTGCTTCCTCCTCTTGGCCATCAGGGTATAATTAGCATAAGAATTTAGTATAATTATACCCAGGAGGGCCCATGTATAATTAACATAGCTGAAAAGAAGTCTTCCTTTCAGTTGGAAGTCAAGGCAATCTCTCTTTCTCCAAGCTTCATTTCAGTTGCATTCCTCTCTGATCCTTCACAATGCCCTGTCTTACCATTTCTGAGGATATGGTGCTGGAACAGGAGGGCCTGGTCCTGCTCCCTAACCCTCACTGCCTCCTGTTTCAATCTAGGCTTCTTCTTTTGTCTAAACACATACACCCCTGATTCTCCAAAACAATGATATAACCTATAATTTCCACTTTATATGGAACCCTGAGATCATTAACTGCAACCTCTCAGGTTTAGAGATGAGACAATAATCCCACCATGTCTTGAGCATTTCTATACATCCAGGACTGGGCTACATGCTTTGCTCTCATCATCCTGTTTACTCTCCAGGCAACCCCATAAGGTCCCTTTTCACAGATGAGGAAAACAAGGTGACATAACTCACCAAGACTCCAGAGCTATCATGTTATTTTAGGGCACTTAAAATCTTCTTCTGATGGGACCTCTTGGGGAAATACTCCAATGCACCTCAGAGGGTGGGCATGTGTTTCTGGGGGGGCAGGGATTGCTGTTCTGTGCTTGTGTCTCCCTCCCAAGCAAGCAGCGCCCTCATTGCTCTATTAGAATCAAGTGGCAAATGATGCATGAGATTTGTCTCCAGCCAGACCTGGCTCCATATCCCCACCTCATTCTCTGTAGGTGTTGTCAACCTGTAGTGATCAAAAATTGCAATTTGGGGAACAGATTTTTGTAGTAGAGGGCCTAGGGCTTTGATGGCAAAAAGAGAGAAAGATGACATAAGTTGTATTAAAGAAGAGTTCATTGGTGCTAGATGAGGCAAGGCTAGGGCTGTACTGCACAGGCTGGCTTGAGATTCAGTCATCAGGCAAAAGGCCAGACTTGTCCTTCATCGATTGGTTAGCGATTTGGTCATGAGCCTAACCTGGCCTCCACCACCCACCAAAATGTGGTTCCTCTGGTCAGGTCACTCTGGGATTCTCTCCACCAGGGCAGCACGCAGGGCCATGCTGGGCTCCTTCCCTGCTGTGGACCCTCCTGTTCCTGGTAAGTCCAACCCCTTTTCTGGTGCAGGGTGCACAGCAATGCTCTGGGGCTCTTGCCACCCCTGTTTCACCGCTGTCTCCCTCACAGGTGAAGTGGCAGTGGTCAGGCTGGAGCAGCTGGCCTCAGGGGTGGTGTGCACCATCACCTTTGCTCAGTTTGGCCATCCTGCCGTGCAGGCCCACACCATGGTCAGCTCCATCCTCTTGGTACCACTGCTACCGAATCAAGATAAGTTCACTCCCTGGTAGCTAAAAATCAGACTCTTGTTCAGAAGTAGCTGTTACACAAAGTAAAGTATATTTGCAGGGAATAGGAGACAATGTGGAATCATTTCCAAAGTCATGGTTTCCCATTCCTCAAACAAAGGGAAGCAGGTCCTTTTGTTTCAGATGGTAAGTGAATATTTAAAAGTGAAGCTTTGTCATCACATATAGAGGTGGGTATTATTAGCTGGTGCAGGCACAGTCTGAAAACATGCTCTCACATACATAGTATGTTATGCTGATAAGGCTAGGCTTCTCCTAGGGCAGAGATTTCACTATTAAGATGAGGAAAAAGGGCATTTTCCAGTCATCTTTGGGTCACCTGCCCAGGCGCTGCTCTTGCAGTGGGCATCGATCTGCTTGAGGCCGGTTGACCCTGGTATCCCCTCCATGGTAGCTCTAAAAACCACCCTTGATGGAGTGTTGAGCACCTTTAACGTTCCTTCAGCTTTTTGGGGAGTGCACTGGTGACACCACAGTCACTGGAGGGCAGGAACCTTGAGAGACTCCTCTGACTGGCCATGTTCAGGCAGATGTGTGGTGGGATTCAGTCCTAAAAGCAGATAGTGTCACCACGATGGAGGCCAAGGCTGGCAGCAGCCATATCCTGTCGGTGCTGAGGGGAGAGAAGCACGATGCAGGTGGGTACCACTGAGCTGCCTGGAACCAGCACGGGTACATGAGTTGCCCTGTCCCCCATGCAAAAAGCACACGGATGACTCCATAATCATCAAGTCCTGGCGACTTCTCCCACCTCCACATCCTGTTGGTTACCCTGGGGTCATCCCTCATCATCCTGGTCTCTCCCGGATGTCACTCCCACCAGTCCATTGCAGATAACAGAGAGAAAAAGAGCCACTAGTGTGCAGGCTGACGCAGAGTTGGGAGGATCCAGTATTACGGGTCCTTTCTAAAGATCCTCCAGTTCAGTGTTTTTGAAGAATGTGGGGAGGATCTACGCTGATAAATCCAGTAGCCACTAGCCACATGAAGTGAGCACCTGAAATGGAGCTGGACAAACGGTCAAAGCTGAGACGGACGGCATGTGTAAAATGCAAATCATATATTGAAGTTAAGAAAAGTGAAAAATCTCATTAAGAACTTTTTACATTGATAGCATGTTGAAACGATATTTTGGATATCTTCGACTAAATAAAAATAGTTCTAAGATTAATTTTACTGGGTTCTTTTTACTTTTATCAATACAGCAGCTAAAATAATTTAATTTGTGGCTATTTAATTTAGTTGTGACTCACATTTATTTTTATTGCACTGTTACAGACTAACAACTTAAGAATCTGACCATCTCCCCTGAAGAATGCATAAATAAAATATTTTGCAAATAACTTCAAAGGTAATCTCTGGAGATTGACCACAAAATGGTCAAAGCTGAGACTGGGAGTCACTTCCTAACTCCAGTCTCTAAGTTGTTGCCCCACCAACTGTCAACCACTTTGCAGCAGAGGAGTCAGCGGTTAGATGCACAGGAGACAATACCGCCACCTTCTTGGCGCCCTCGGCCATTAGTCCATTAGCAGGCCCATCACTCAAATCATGGTGGTAGATGACAGTCCTCATGCAGGGTGACGCAGTCAGCCCTGGGGAGACCTCAGACCCTCCGCCTTCCACTTCCCACATAATGCCACCCCATGTTGGAATTAGGGTGGATATCTAGGTTCTTTGGACTTCTCTTGTGTCATCTGTAAACTGATGTGGTTTAATTGCTGAAATTTGGTGGCTCTGATAACTGTATTAAAGTAAAATCATAAAAATAGGTATAACTATATTCACTACCTTCTCATAAAGCCAGTCAAATTCTTGAAAATAAAATCGTAGAAAAGAAACGAAAAGAGAGGTAAAGAAAAGAAAACCAGAGTTACTTACCCTGTAGCCCCCAAACAGAAAACTCTTCTTATGCTATATGTGGGGGGAAAAACCCTTTGAGATCTAAGGTGAATTGACACATTTTCAATTGAAAATTCAAAGTTTATGTACAGTTTAATAGCATTGGTAAAAGTGATTAATGAAAGGAATGTCTAAATGGTCTGAAGGAAATCGGTTCATCAAATTCATTACCTCATTGTCTCTCTCCCTTAGCTTCTGTTTTCATGGTCAGAAATTGATAATTCAGACATGCCTCTCATGAAAGAGCCCAGCACCCCCACCCTCTCCTGAAGGCCTAGGTCGAGGCTAAGACCCCCCAGTATGTGTGAGAAGGGGTCGGGGTAGAGGGACCTGAAACTTACTTTTGCTCTGTTTTCAGATTGTTCCTTCGTTTCACCTTCCCCGTTGTCCTAACAAAACAGAACCAATCTCAGTGCCTGACAACATGGAGCAGGGAGCTCTGTGGACTGGGGATAATGAAGGGTGTGGCCAAGAGGAGGAACAAGCTCCTCACTCTTCTTACAAAACAACATCATCCACATTCCCCAGACCACCCTCCATTCCTCCCAACAAATTTTGGCTGACCACTCACTGGGGTTACTGAGGATTTCCTCTGTGACAGGCGGTGGGAGAGACGAGGGAGGGCCAAGATCATAGCATTAAGTCGGAGTGATCTCCAGATTACACCGCTCTCCATGGTTAGGTGTCGGATCATTGCATCTTTATTACACCCAAGAAACTTAGCATAATGCTCCCACACAGTGGAGCTTCATGAATACTGTTTGGCTAATTGAGTCCTCTCAGAGTTCCATGGTGGCAGTCTGTACCGCCATGTTCACCCTCCCCAATCGGAGGTTGGACTTGGTGGACTCAGCCAAGCCACATGGTCTGAGACTCTTCTCAGCAGGGGTTGCAGGCTGCCCTGGAGGAGAGGGCAATTCATTCAGACAGGCTGTCACTCTACCAAGGACCTCCTCTCTCAGTCCTTGGAGCTTGTAAGTTGTTTTCCTCCTCCAATTCCATTTGACAGATATTTTCTAATTTTGTAATTTTTAAAAATTTCTAAGTTTTTCTCATTACTCTTCTCCTTTCCTTATTTTTCAGTGTGTGTATGGTACAGGTCATCTAGAATAACCTCAACTTTCCAGTACTAAAAGGCTGTCAAAAACAGCCCCTCGGGAATGTGTGGTATCTGGTGTAACAATTTCTGCGACATCCATATATTGGGATGAGGAAAGCCCTGGTCCAGCCCTGCAGCCCCTGCTGCACATTTCGTCTGATAACACTGTCAGGATGGAGTCAGGCATTCCATTGGGAAATTCAAGGTAGACAAGATACCTGAAACTTCTGCATCTACCCTCACCATTCACGATGGAGAGAAAGAAGACTCGGCCACCTACTACTGTGCCTTCTGTGGGGTGCACAGCGGCAGACGTTAGAGCCACGTCAGTCAGTAAGTGTTCAGTGGTTCTTCATTCACTACTATGAAGTGGAAAAGCACAGTTACCTCCTATGTGCTTTTGTGCAGTTTTCTAGATAAATGAACATATGGGCAAATATGTGTATGGAGTTGCTAAATTCTATGCTTTCTCCAAGAGGAAGCTTTGTGTATGTGGTTGCAAACGATCTCTCTCGTGTTTTCAAAAATCTACTCTCCCTAACAGGCTTTCCTATGGCACCCAAGCTTATTCATCTGGGTCAACATCCCCCACTCTATTTTATTTTCCACCAAGATGTGTATGACACGTAATTTCTGTGACTTCTTTTGTGCTAGTCAATTTGCATGAGATTAATTTTTTCTTATCCACCCTTCTGCTTTGATTAAAAAATTGGATATTAGATTAAATGCTATTAATTTTCCCAGAGGCTAAAACATAACAAACACAGCATGATCTGACCACATGCAGGGCCGACTGCAATGATAATGTATCAGATGCATGCCCTGGCATGGTGATATTTGATTTTGCACAAACTTATAACCACTGCTATTTAATGAGTCTGAATCAAAGTCCACTTTGTATTGGAGTTTGAGGAGTAGCTCATTTTCTGGCTTAATATTCCATTCATCCAACAGTAGGTGTTTGATTGACTCCTCTGAGCCAGGCACTGTCACAGCAGACATTGCAAATCTCATGTGCTCTGTCAAGGCTGCAGGTTGCTCCTGCAGAGGTCTCTTCTCCTGCTGCGCTGCGGTTATCTGGCTACACATATGGTAAAGCAAAGTGTTTAGGACCCAGGCCTCTGGTATAGAGAGCTCCAGGTCTGATCTGGGCTCTGACACTTACTAGCTGTGTGTCAGGCCGAGAGTTTCTCTAGCCCATCTTCTCACCTGTACAGCAGAGGTCCTGTAGTTACCACATGGGTTGTTGTAAGGGTTCCTGAGATGATGCACACTAAGCGTTTGGTCCAGTGCATGGCACACTGAAAGCTCAGTAAATGTTAGCTGATAAGAAATAAACAAACAGAACAGCAACCAGCATACATACTCATACAGGAACACACACACACACACACACACACTCCCACATATGACCCACACAGGTTTGTATACCAGGACTCAGTACCATATCTGTTGTAGTGTGATTGACTATTACAGTTTAGTTGAAGAGAGACTAGCTAGATACGAAGAAGCTCCTGTGAATAGTCCTCCCAAATCAATTTAAATCTAGGTTTTCAATCACAATTCTATAGTGCCCTTGACTTACACAAATTGGGGAGGACAGTGGCCCGGTGCTTGGAGCAAATCGCCTCTACTGAAGGGGAAACAAGTCCACATTTGGAGTCACTCCCTCCTCCTGCCCTTCTCCTTTAGGCTGAGATAGGTTCCCCAAAGACACTTTGACCACACTCACCAAAGGCAAACCAACCAGAGGAAACCAGCCCCATCCTAAGTAAGCATTTGCCAGTTGAATGGTGGTTTAAATTGCTGATTCATAGAAACACTGAAAGCATCCACTAGAATGTACAGCACCAGGTAATATCTGTGGAGTTGAGATGAATATTTTGATTATTACTGTGGTGCTCACATCATCCACTGGGTGCGGAATTTTCTGTACTTGGTGCCTGAAAGATCCTGATGATTTTGGCTCAACTTATTTTCCTTCAGAGCTGAAGTGGGTGAGACACAATGACTCTGAGTAATAGAGGCAACATTATATTGTTTAATGAAAGCTGAAGAAAATCCAAGAAATTCTTCAAAACCATCATTTTCATATAACATATCTATCACCCAACTGCCCACACATCCTAGTACTGTGGGAAAGTGAGGTCTTAACCCAGGAGTCATCTTGTAAAAAGTTACATTTGAAAAAACGGTGAGGGCCCCCTGAAATCCATGTTGACTCTTATTTTGGGGGCTCTTATGTCAGCTCTTGTGAACAGGTTCAGAGGAGAGTGCACAGCTCTGGAGTGGTCATCTCTGGACCTTAGGATCATGGATATTCTTTTCTATTTCATTTCTGTAGTGCTCAAATTGTCTAATGGAAAAATTTTGTGACTTTTGAATTTTATTTTAAAATTGGAATCACGTATCTCAAAATATTAAAACTGTCTGCATATTATTGAGCACTTAAAGACCACGTGAAATTTCACGATTGGAAAGGCATGTAACGGGCTCTGTCTTGACCACGTTTTTTTCTCCTTTTCTCTAAGAACTTTTGTCCTTTTTCCAAAACAAAGTTTGTTTTCTCTCATGATTCCTAGTGAGTTAGAGGCAAAGTTCATTATTGGGATGCTCAGGACGGTTTTTGGGACTTGAAAGTCTCTTTTACCCTACGTTGCACAGATATGAAGTTTTACACAGAATGGTAAAAATGCTTGGTTCTCTTTTTTTGCCATTTACCAAGATTTATTTTTTATTATTTTTGTTATTTTATTGAGATCACATTGGTTTACAACTTTATGTAAATTGAAAATATACATCGTTATATTTCGGCTTTTGTATAGACTGCATTATGTTCACCCCCAAACGTCTAGTTTCCATCTGTCACCATATGTATGTTCCCCTTTACCCCATTTGCCTCTCCCAACCCTTTCCCCTCTGGTAACTACGAATCTTTTCTTCTCTATGTGTGCGTTTGTTTGTTTATCTTCAACGTGTGAGTGAAATCATACTGCCCTTGTCTTTCTCTGACTTTTTTCCCTTAGCATAATACCCTCAAGGTCCATCCATGTTGTCACAGTGGCGTGATTTCATCCTTTTTTTTGGCTGAATAGTATTCCATTGTATACATATACCACATCTTCCTTATCCATTTATGGGCACTTGGGTTGCTTCCAAGTCTTGGCTATAGTGAATAATGCGGAAATGAATATAAGGATGCATGTATCTTTTAGAATTAGTCTTTCTGTGTTCTTTGTAGTCATACCAGATGTGGAATAGACAGATCATAGGATATTACTAAGTTTCATTTTTGAGAACTCTCCATAGTGTTTCCTATGCTGGCTGCCCCAGTTTGCATTCCCTCCAGTAGTGTCTGAGGGTTCCCTTTTCTCCACATCTTCCCTAACACTTGTTGTTTGTTGTCTTTTCAATAACAGCCAATCTGACGTTATGAGATGATACATCATTCAAATTTTGACTTGCATTTTCCTAATAATTAGCAAGTTGAACATCTTTTCTTGCGCCTAGTGGCCATCTGTATATCTTCTTTGAAAAATGTCTGTTCATATCCTCTGCCCATTTTTTGAAACAGCTCATTTTTTAATTGTTGAATTGTATGAGTTCTTTGTATATTTTGGAAATTAACCCCTTATCTGAGATGTGATTTGCAAAACTTCTCTCCCAGTTTGTAGATTGTCTTTTTGTTGTGTTGATGGTTTCCTTTACAGTGCAGAAGCTTTTTAGTTTGATATAGTCCCCTTTGGATATTTTTTCTTTGGTTTCACTTGCCTGAGGAGACACAGTATTCGAAAAGATACTGCTAAGACAGATGTCAAAGAGTGTACTGACTATGTTTTCTTCTAGGAGTTTTATGGCACAGGTCTTACATTTAAGTCTTTAAGTATTTTGAGTTAATTTTTGCATATGCTGTAGGTTAATGGTCCACTTTCATTCCTTTGCATGTGGCTGTCCAGTTTTCCCAAGACCACTTTCTGAAGAGACTTTCCTATCTCCACTTTCTGTTCTTGGCTTCTTTGTCAAAGATTAGCCGTCCATAGATCTGTGGTTTTATTTCTGGGCCCTCAATTCTGTTCCATTGATCTATGTGTCTGTTTTTCTGCCAGCACCATGCTGTTTTAATTACTATAATTTTGTAGCATATTTTGAATTCGAGGGTCCTATACCTCCATCCTGTTCTTTTTTCTCAAGCTTGCTTTGGCTATTTGGGGTTTTTGTACTCCTATATATATTTTAGGACTCTGTTCTATTTCTGTGAAAAATTTCATGGAGATTCTGATTGGGATTGCATTGGATCTGTATATTGCTTTAGGTAATATAGGCATTTTAGGTATGTTAATTCTGCCAATACATGAGTACAGAATATCTCTCTATTTCTTGGTGTCTTCTGCAATTTCTTTCAACAATGTCTTATAGTACTCAGTGCACAGGTCTTTCACTTCATTGGTTACATTTATTCCTAAGTATTTTATTCTTTTTGTTGTAATTGTAAATGGAATTGTATTCTCTGTTTCCCTTTCTGCTAGTTCATTGTTAGTGTATAGAAACACAACTGATTTTTGTATGTTGATTTTGTGCCCTACAGCTCTACTGTTTTCATTTATTATTTCTGATAGTTTTTCTGTGGATTCATTAAGGTTTTCTATACATAAAATTATGTCTTCCACAGATAGTGGCATTTTACCTCTTCCTTTAGAATTTGGATACTGATTATTTCCTTTTCTTGTCTAATAGCTCTGGTCAGGATTTCCAACACTACGTTGAATAAGAGCAGCAAATGTGGGCATCCTCATCTTGTTCCTGTTCTTGGGGGATGGATTTCAGGTTTTCACAACTGAATAAGAGGTTAGTTGTGGCTTTGTTATGTTGAGGTATTTTCATTCTATACCCATTTTATTGAGAATTTTCACCATAAATGGATGGTGAATCTTGACAAATGCTTTCTCTGCATCTATTGAGATGATCGTGTGACTTTTATTCCTCATTTAATTGATATGATGGGTCACCTTGATTGATCTGTGGGTGTTGAACTACCCTTGCATGCCTGGAAGAAATCCCCCTTGATGAAGATGCATGATCCTTTTAAGGTATTGTTTTATTCAGTCTGCTAATATATTGTTGAGAATTTTTGCATGTATGTTTGTCAGCAATATTGGCCTGTAATTTTTCTTGTGTGTGTTGTCCTTGTCTGTGTTTGGTATCAGGGTAATGTTGAGCTTCTAAGTTGAGTTAGTAAGCACTGCCTTCTCTTCAATAGTCGGGAAAGTTTCGGAAGGCTAGGTATTAAATATTCTTTGAATGTTTGGTAGAATTCACCAGAGAAATCATCTGGGCCTGAACTTTTGTATTTTTGAGGGGTTTTGATTACTGTTTCAATCTCTTTGCAAGTGATTGATCCATTCAGGCCCTCTATTTGTTCTTGCTTTAGTTTTGGAAAGTTATATGATTTTGGGAATGTATCCGTTTCTGGTAGGTTATCCAATTTGTTCGCATATACCTTTTCAGAGTATTCTCTTATAAACTTTTGTATTTCTGAGGTATCTGTTGTAATTTCTCCTCTTTCATTTCTTATTTTAATCATCTGAGCCTTCTTCCCTTTTTCCTTAGTGAGCCCAGTAAAGGTATGTCAATTTTGTTTGCCTTTTCAAGGAACCAGCTCTTAGATTCATTAATCCTTTCTGTTTTCTTTTTAGTCTTTACTTCATTTATTTCCACTCTGATTTTTATTATTTTTTTCCTTCTGTTCATTTTGCATTGCATTTCTGCTCCTTTTTCTATTTCTTCTAGGTGTATTGTTAAAGTGTTTATGTGAGATTTTTCTTGTTTTTTTCAGTAGGCCTCCAATGCTGTACACTTACCTCTGAGTACCACTTTTACTACATTCCATAGATTTTGGTAGGTTGTGTTTCATTTTCATTTGAATTTAGTTATTTGTTTATTTCTCCTTAGATTTTGTCATTGATCCAATAGTTATTCGCTACCATATTAGTGACTTTTCCAGTTTCTTCTTACAGCTGATTTCTAGTTTCACATCGCGTGATCACAAAAGATACTTGATGTTATTCTAAATTTTAGTTTAAATAAATAATCTATTATTTCATAGGAGATAGAGTCCCATACATTTGTTCTTTTATACCATGAAAAGTAATGTCACAGAAGCAATTTTCTCATTTGGCATTGCTGGGTATAGAATCACGTTGCCAAATAGAAAAAGTAGTTTTATTAAAAAGGCAGAAATTTGTTCACAGTTCTCAAGTATATTTGTATTGGCATATTTCCATTTCAGTTACTGAAGAGTTTCTTCCTTTCAGAAATACATTCCCAAATTGCTAACGAAGCAACTCTGGTGTTTGTGAGAACAAAAGGGCCTTTCCTTTGATGTAATCTCTGAACAGTTTCAACACAATTGAACACCTGGAAATTAAAAAAAAAATCTTAATTCTCTGATTGCTTTTCCTAGTAATTGAGAAATGTAGTTGGTTGACCATTTGGGCCTGATCTCTTCTTTTTCTGCTCTTCTTCTTTCCATATTCCATCAGTGCTTTTCAATGAGTAGTGCCTTGTTGGAAAACAGATGTTTGTGTCAATTTATCTGTAGAAAACTTATAAAATATCTGATGCCACAAAACTTATGTTCAAGGACTTCCAAAGGAGCCCAGAAGATCCAATTGGCAGTACACAGTTTTCTAACTGTTAGTTACATCACGAAGATTAGGAGGAAGCTGAGTTTTTGTAGAAGCTGTAACCAGTGTGATATCTCAGGCTGGATCAAGACATTTGGAGAAGGGACTAAGCTCCTCGTGATTCCCTCTGGTAAGTAACTTTTTTCTATTTTTACTTAGTAATGAAAAACTGGTAGATGCTTTTTAGAAAAAAACTATCTAGGATCACTCTTATCTGACTGTCATATACTTGGTCTCAGCATTTGAACAGCAAGTTTGAAGCTACTAGTCACTGTAGAGGAAAACAAAACTGCTTCATAAATGGTTTGTTCACATCTCTGCTAGTAAGCAGATTGAGATTCTACTTTTAAAATATGTACATGAAAAGAATAGACTCAGGCTAGAAAATAAGATATTTCTTGAACCATACCTGTAAACCATTGGTGCAAGTTCTTGGTTCAAGACAGTTTTCTTGTATATCATCTTTTAGGTGAGAGACACCTTGATTAATTACCTCTTCTCTATATATTGAGATAAAACATAGTGCTCCTTTCTCACTGTAACCTGCAAAACCTATGTTACCGGTTTTCATCTCATCCCTAACAGCAATGCAAAACATTAATTCTTAAAGTAAACGACTATGGAACATCGGGAAATCTCACTTATTACTGTAGCTTTGTGGAGGTAGGCTGAGATCTGTCAAAATTTATGCTGTCACAACTCTTGATGAATTGCCTAGAGATGGGCCAGTTTAAGGGAATTTGTAATCTCAATAGCCATTGCAGCTCCAAAGTCCATGAAAAGGGTCTGCATGGTTTTACATCCTCATTTGCTCATTCATTTTGTCAGCAAACCTTATCGAAGACAGTTTCTGTGCCAGTAACTGGAGATAAATGGGGGAAGAAGATAAACATAGAACAAGTCCCAGTATTCCAAAAACTTCTAGTCTAGCGGATAAGTATTCAACTCCAACCGGGTCCTGGGAGGCCGTTCTCTGCCTGACGTAACAAGGAGGACATTAACAAGGAGTTAACTAGTTACACAAATTTTGAGTTCCGAAGCGGTGGAGACGTTAGTCCATTTGGGATTTCAGTTTTTAAAAATTTGTAATGAAGTTTAGACATTTTGTTTATTTAATTCCAAAAATAACCAATGGGACAAAATGAACAAAAATTATTAAATTTGTCATTTGGTCAGAGGATAATTAATAACATCAAGTATAAAATATTTAACTTGGGTGACCATATTCAAGAATTTCACAAGATGGGTTTTTTTTTTCCTTCTAAATTCAGCCTGATAAGTTTGTTTGGTCCTCATTAGCCTTAAAGATGGAATTTTGCCCCAAAGAAGAAGAATGTCTCACAAGGATATTCTTAGCCCACTAGATGAACTGAAATGACCGTTTTCAAAGAGTTATCACAACGTTGATAGAGCACTGAAGGGAATAATATATTTTGTTTTCTTTAGTGGTTGTGATCAAACACAGAAAGAATTCCAAGACTAAAAAGCAACTTTCTAGTCCTTTTTTCCAAACTTACTACTTATTTAACATAAATTGTAGCTATCAAATTGAATAATGGTGGCACAGATATAATTCATGCATGTGCTGAGAAATGATTTTTAGGAGAATCTGGTGCAGGGAAAAATATGGACTTTCATTTTGGGCCCACCACTTTCTGTATAGTCATCCTTTAGCAAATAAATTGTGATTCACTCCTTATTGCTCTACTAAAATTATAGAAATAATACTTGCTCATTATGAAAAAAGTTGGAAAATGTGAATAATAAGGAAAAAATTAAAATTTTAGATCAACATACATCTCTGCTAACATTTTGATATATTTCCGCCCGTTCATTCAATCTATGCCACAACACTCTCGAATGAATGTTGTGAGTATTAAATGAAATTAGATATAGAAATTACCACCATGGTCAGTGATAAAAATGTCACTTCTCCAGGCTTCAAATTACCACCATGGGACTGCCTTATGGAATCAGGAGTACAGATAAGTGTATTAATTACTGTCTAGTCTACAGGTCACATTAGAACAAATGGTCAGTATTTGGAAAAAACTTTCAATTTATAAGATTAACTATTGCTTGCTTGTAAAAATGATGAGAATATAATAAGCATTATCTCAAATATTATGAGCCTGAATAGAAGGTGGTCTCTCATTTTCCAGTGGAAATATCTGGAAGTAATAAAAGGGAGGGTTTGCAACTTGAATGTATTAATTTATAGTGACATAGCTAGAAGTCAAATATCCACTTACAATATTTACTTTCTTATTTGGATTATAGCTACAAAGTCAAAAACTATATCGATGCAAATATCAGTTGAGAAATATTACTCTTTTTGCCCTCACATTGCATTAAAAATTTTGTTTGGGCTCTTCAAATGCATCTGCAGCATGTAGCTTAGAGCAATTTTCTAGGTCATCTCAGGGTCTGAGTGTCTCTTTTGGGATCCCTGTGGGATGATGTCGCTGGATATGTTATCCAAAGAGGCAACTATCCATGTATAAAATAAGGGAAATCGTTTTTTTCATTATTATTATTCTATAAATGTGCAGCATAAGCATAAACTGTGCAAACTTTAGACCCAAGTAGTATTTATCCAATCCATGTTAAATTTCTTCACTTTCTGTTACCAGCACTAGCTCCAAAACTAGCGCTAATTGAGTTCATTTCAGTATTTTTTTTTAATCACAACCGAGTATTAGAAGAGCATCTTTTAACACGAGAGGTTCTACAAGGAATGAAACATAAGGTGACCCCTCATTTCTGAAGGACAGTTTTGGGACCAAAAACTTCAACTTATGTTCCGCACTTTCAGTCTGTTTAAATTCTGCCTGTTTTGTGTCTATATAATAGTTTTGGGACTGGCAAACATATTCTCCCAGCTCTCATGTCATCTTTAAGTCAGACCTTATTAAACTATCAGCCACTGGGGAGAAAAAGAAACAAGCTGTAATGCATAAATTATTTGTCATTTATTTAAACTGCCTATTTCTGCAATCTATTTGAGAAGACCTAAAATCAAATACAGAAGTACAGGCGTACCTCATTTTATCGTGCTTTGCTTTATTGCACTTTGCAGATATTGCAATTTTCAAAAATAGGAGGTTTCTGGCATCCCTGCCTTGAGCAAGTCTACCAGGGCCATTTCCCCCAAAACATTTGCTCACGTTGTTTCTCTGTGTCACATTTTGGAAATTCTCAGAATATTTCATATTTTTTTATTATTATTATATTTTTTATGGTGATCTGGGATCAGTGATCTTTGATGTTACCGTTGTAATGTTTGGGCACGCCATGAACTGTGCCTATATAAGACAGCAAAGTTAATCGATAAATACTGTGTGTTCTGACTGCTCCACCGACGGTTCCCCCATCTCTCTCCCTCTCCTTGGCCCTCCCTATTTCCTGAGAACCAACAATATTGGAGTTAGGCCAGTTAATAACCCTGCAATTAATAACCCTACAATGGCCTCTAAGTGTCCAAGTGAATGGGAGAGCTTCATCTCTCTCATTTTAAATTAAAGGTTAGAAAAGAGTAAGCTTAGTGAGGAAGGCATATCAAAAGCCGAGATAAACCCAATGGTTTCAAAGGAATGTTTAGGGACTGGTCTGGTGGTGCAGCAGTGAAGTACGCACGTTCTATTTTGGTGGCCCAGGGTTCACCAGTTCAGATCCCCAGTGCGGACATGGCACCTCTTGGCAAGCCACGCTGTGGTAGGCGTCCCATATATAAAGAGAGGAAGATGGGCACGGGTGTCAGCTGAGGGCCAGTATTCCTCAGCAAAAAGGGGAGGATTGGCAGCAGTTAGCTCAGGGCCAATCTTCCTCAAAACAAAACAGAACAAAAAGAAAAACAAAAATAAGGAATGTTTAAAGAAAAAATATGTACTATAATTATTTAAAATATAGGCCCTAACCATATATTCACAAGTATACTATTTAATGCTCAGTTAGTTATTGCATTGAGAATGTAATGGAAATGTGAAATTCATTTTACCCTGAAAAGAATGAAACTTAAAGAATCTAGGGAAAGAAAAGGGACAAGAGGTAAGAATAGCAGGTGATCACACATAAACTTTTCAATTCATCATTTGATTTTCAATTTCTTTAATATAACGAATCTTAAGTATTCTTATTAAGAAATAATATTTCCTAAGTTGAAAATCAGATCCTTTAATATATTGACTAAAGACTAAAATTATGTAAATATAGTGTATGATTGAAAAATTAATCTTGTTTTATATAACATGATTTTAAATTAAAAGCAAAGCATAAAGTTGGAGAAATATACTGTCTTATTATCATAATCAATAAAATACAATTTACACTAAAAGGATGTGTAAAATTAAAATGAACACATGATGACCTAATTGTATTTATAGCATGAAAAAATGCCTCAACATTGTTTGGCTACTGATTTACTATAAAAATGGGGAGCTTTGACACACAGGCAGAACTTCTCAAGAATTTTTTTCTCGTCTTCTCAAATAAGAAATCTAATTCTCCTTTTCTTAAGAAATTCCCCATTAAACTATATAGCTCCAAGCTAGCCCATAGAGAATGTTAGTAAAGATTTTGTGTGTCAATTGGAAATCAAATTGGAAAGAATTTCAGTATTTAGAATTCCAATCATTAGATTAACAATAAATGTACAATCAACTAACATTCCACCATCCATGTGACATTCCCTTGTAAACTATGATGATTTGTTATATATTTTAATATTATATCTACAAGAGAATCTGGAACTGTAGCGTTTAACCTTAAACCAATTTTATATATACTTTATTCAGCAGGTTAAAACAAAGAAAATAGTGGAGCTCTAAAAAGTTCAGCAGCCTTTTAGGCTAGATACAAAGTTTAGAGGAGACGTTGAGTGTCAAAACGTGGTGTATTTTTAGTCATGCTTTAACTTCATGAAATTCCAAATAAAAATCTGCTTTTGGTAAACATATTCTAAAGTGAAACAAAATTCTGACAAGTGTATTACTTGATAAGATTAATATAATAGCATTTGAGAAAATAAGTAATAAATTTTGAATGGGAGTTTTGGAAATAGTGCTATTTCACTTCTAAATTCAAGACATTGTATATAACTTGGAGGTGCAACTTTAACACTACCCTACTCAAAATCTGGGATGGTTCAGATGTGAAACTGAGATATTTTCTAAAATTAGACATCAGGCAGGAGAACTCCATTACCTTAGAACTGGTCATGGGATCCACATTTGAAGCTAAAATGTCAATCTGATTGTCAAGTCCTCTTGGAAATGGATTCCCATTAACGAGTGACTGTGCAGTGTTTTAACAAAAGGAAAATTTCCTCCTGATATTTATTTATATGGCAAAAAAGACAAATATGGTGCATTCCAGAAACAGTTAAATGAAGAGAGAGGTTTCACAGAGTTGCAGAACATGATAAAGTGTTATTCGGCCAAAAGAGCATAAGTTACAAAATTCACGGGATGGCAAAAGCGAAGTATTTCAGAAAGGACCAGACATTCTCATGTGCAGAGAGATCATCAAAGTTACCTGGTCTCCTACCCACCCACCTTGAAAACATGCTCCGCCATGATAGAACATAGAGATTTTAAAAAAATATGAGTGTTGATGAATGATAGAAGCCCTGAAATGGGTCAGGTAAAAGTCATCCCCCATCTTAGCATGTGGATAAAGAACAAAGGCCAAGCTGTAATCCAGCCTCTGCCACTTAACAGCTGTGACTCTGGGCAAGTTACATAACCTCTGGAACCTCTTTTCCCATTGAAAATAAGAACAATAAATACTCACAAACTCTGGTGGAAGAAAGGCCATGGTGAGCACTAATTCAATGGCAGCTTTTCTTCCTCTTACAATGCTCTAGGTTGTACCAAACCACACAGTGTTTGTGCTTCTCTAGTGATGCTTATAAAATGCTATTCTGTTTTCCCCCACAGACGCACACCTTCCTGCAGACATTTCCCCCAAGCCCACCATGTTTCTTCCTTCGATTGCTGAAATAAACCTCCATAAGGCTGGAACGTATCTTTGTCTTCTTGAGAAATTCTTCCCTGAGGTTATTAAGATCTATTGGATAGAAAAGAATGGCTATAGAATTCTGGAATCCAAGCAGGGAAATACCATGAAGACTGATACCACTTACATGAAATTCAGCTGGCTGACTGTGACTGGAAAGTCAATGGATAAAGAACATAAATGCATCGTCCAACACGAGAATAATAAAGGAGGGGTTGACCAAGAGATTCTTTTTCCTTCAGTGAACAAAGGTATGTATATATAAAGATAACCTCTCAGAACAGTTTTTTTCAAAGAGAATATCCCCCCTTTTCTGTCACGTATTAATGGAAAACAAACAAGTACAAATGTTTCTTAAATGTCATTCCGTTTATTGGTAGCATAAATCTCCTCTATTTCCCCAAAGGATTAAAATAGTATAGGCTTTGGAAGATTAAAAAAGAAATTCCTTAACTTTTTTCAGCCTCAGTTTCATCAACCAAAATACTAAGGTCTCAGTGATGCTTTTTAGGGTGGTTGCTGGATTAAAGGAAGCAGCATTCATGAAAGCACTTAACAATTTAGCACACAAGACACGCTCGAAAAGAGATTCTACTTTTGATGATCGATCTTGATCAGAAAATAAGAACTGTTATACGCCATTCATGAATGTTCTACTCAGCAAGCAGTGTCACTGTCACTTTACTCTTGCTCTACTTAGAGCACAACCCCAAAACAATGCCATTAGGTGAGAAAATTGTGTTCATTTGGTGGAGTCAGATGGCGGCACAAGAAAAAATGCAATGATTTGTCCGTTGAAGTTTTACTATAGTCTTAGATTTTCTGGATTTGTATTTTATATATCACCATAAGGTAAACTTTCCTAATTAAAGATCGGGTGAGGCTAATGTGTACACACATACTTCCACTCTATGTAATGAATGTGTTTCTTGCCATTGGTAAATTCAGTTCAACATTTATTGCAGAACTGGCCTGGAAGGGATGCATGGATGAGGACACTGGGATGAATTACTGTCCTGAGGAGAATGCACTGCAGTAAAAAGAATATATTCTTTTCCCATCACTCAGGTTCACTCATCATTCAGGCAATGTGTCCCAAAGGAGACCTGACAGTGGTCTGGTAAACCTCTAGACTCCGGACTTAAAGTCCTGGTTGTAAACACAACAGACCAAAGGCCCCAGAGCACCTTTAAATCCGAAAGAATCAGTTTGTACTTTTCCCTGTGGTTAACAAGCCCTTTTGAAGCCGTGGGGGAACAAGCACAGAGCAAAACATACGAAGACCTTTGCTGTGTACCAGTGCCAATTTCTGCAGTCCGTCTTTATCTTCTTGGATCTTTAATTTCATCAGTAATCAAATTAGGTTCGAGCACTTGTGCCGTGATGAAGAGCAAGTGAAATCTTCTCAGTGAAAAAACTTGCTTTTGAAAACATAATATGGATATATTTCTTTATGTATATATTTTATTTTTTAGTATACTTTCATAAAACTAACTAATGTAATGTTGAAACAGAAGCCCTAGTTTGCTATTTCTACGGCTAAGAACAGGGAAAGCAACATATGCAAAGCACAAGTTCAATATAAGCAGGGGGTTGAAGTGTGCTATGAGGTTGTGATTTTTCTAGACATTAAGGAAAAATAAGAGGTACGGTTCAGTTCAACGGTGATGATTATCCTAGAGAAGTTTCAGTTCATAATGTGTTTACCCGGCAGGTATTTTCTGAGACAGATGTCTCCCACAGGCTTCTCAGGGCAACAAAGCTAATGAGGACAGTTCTGCTAATGTCGTTCTACAGCAAATTTCTAACACTGTTTCTTGGAATTTTTTTGTTTTTGATAGAAGCTAAGAATGTAACATGGAAGCAAAAATCAATGAAGTGATCTTGAAGAAGGTAAAACTAGTCTGGTCCAAGTTTTTGACCAACTTTGGCTAAGAGAGAGAACTTAGGATACAGACACAGATTTTATTATGAAAAGTTGTTACTCTAATCTTTTCACATCAATGGACGGTAATAAGAGATTTTGATTTATCTTTTAATGAATAAGTCATTGTTAAGAAAAAGAAAGAATTTTAAGACATGTTAAAGTCAGTTCTTGAAGATGTTTTAACATCCAGACATGACTATGCTAACATTTGCATTCTTGAAATTTATTTCAAATCCTCTATATCAAACCCAGTTTTACAGTCATCTGAAAAAGAGTTCATTGTGTGCCTAAAGTTACATACCAGAACCCTATCCTTATGGAGAAGAGCTCATCTAGTAGAAAATGTATAAACCATAGATTTGTCCATAGATTTGTGGGTTTATTTCTGGGCTCTCAATTCTGTTCCATTGATCTCGGTGTCTGTTTTTGTGCCAGTACCATGCTGTTTTGATTACTATAACTTTGCAGTATATTTTGAAATCAGTGAGTGTGATACCTCCAGCTTTGTTCTTTTTTTCTCAGGGATCCTTTGGCTATTCGGGGTCTTTTGTTGTTCCACATAAATTTTAGGATTCCTTGCTCTATTTCTGTGACAAATGTTGTTGGAACTTTGATAGGGATTGCGTTAAATCTATTGATTGCTTTAGGAAGTGTGCACATTTTAATTATGTTAATTCTTCCAATCCAAGAGCACGGAATATCTTTCCATTTCTTTGTGTCTTCTTCGATTTCTTTCAACAATCTTTTATAGTTTTCAGTGTACAGATCTTTCATCTCTTTGCTTACGTTTATTCCTAGGTATTTTATTCTTTTTGTTGCAATTGTAAATGGGATTGTATTCTTAATTTCTCTTTCAGCTGCTTCGTTGTTAGTGTATAGAAACACAACCGATTTTTGTATGTTGATTTTGTATCCTGTGACTTGAGTGTATTAATTTATTATTTCTTAAAGTTTTTTAGTGGATTCTTTGGCATTTTCTATATATAAAATCACGTCATGTGCAAAGAGTGACAGTTTCACTTCTTGTTTTGCAATATGTATCCATTTTATTTCTTTTTCTTGCCGGATTGCTCTGGCTAGGACTTCCAATTCTACCTTAAATAAGAGGGGTGAAAGTGGGCATCCTTGTCTGGTTCCTGTTCTTAGAGGCATAGCTTTCAGTTTTTCCTCACTGAGAATGATATTTGCTGTCAGTTTTTCATATGTGGCTTTACTATGTTGAGACCTTTTCCTTCTATACCCGTTTTATTTAGAGTTTTTATCATAAATGGATGCTGTATCTTGTCAAATGCTTTCTCTGCATCTATTGAGATGACCATGTGGTTTTTATTCTTCATTTTGTTAATGTGGTGTATCATGTTGTTAGATTTGCAAATGTTGAACCATCCCTGCATCCCTGGAGTGAAATCCACTAGACCATGTTGTATGATCTTTTCGCTGTATTGTTGTATTCGATTTGCTAGTATTTTGTCAAGGATGTTTGCATCGATGTTCATCAGTGACATTGACCTATAAATTTCTTTTTTTGTGTTGTCCTTGTCTGGTTTTGGTATCATGATAGTGTCGGCTTCATAGAATGAGTTAGGAAACCCCTCTTCCTCTTCAATTTTTTGGAATAGTTTGAGAAGGATAGGCAGTAAGTCTTCTTTGAATGTTTGCTAGAATTCACCAGGGAAGCCATCAGGTCCTGAACTTTTATTTTTTGGGAGATTTTTGGTTGCTGTTTCGATTTCCTTACTGGTGACCGGTCTATTTAAATTCTCTACTTCTTCTTGGTCCAGTTTTGGAAGGTTGTATGTTTCTAAGAATTAATCCATTTCTTCTAGATTATCCAATTTGTTGGCGTATAGCTTTTCATAGTATTCTCTTATTATCTTTTGTATGTCTGAGATGTCCGTTGTAATTTCTCTTCTGTCATTCCTGATTTTATTTATTTGAGCCTTCTCTCTTTTTTTCTTGGAGAGTTTAGCTAAGGTTTTGTCAATTTTGTTTATTTTGTCAAAGAGCCAGCTCTTTCTTTCACTAATGTTTTCTACTGTTTTTTTAGTCTCTATTTCATTTATTCCTGCTCTAATTTTTATTATTTCCTTCCTTCTGCTGATTGTGGGCTCTGTTTGTTCTTCTTTTTCCACACCCCTTAGATGCGCTCTTAGATTGTTTATTTTGGATTTTTCTTGTTTGTTGAGGTAGGCCTGAATTGCTATCAACTTCCCTCTTAGAACTGCTTTTGCTGTATCCCATAGATTTTGGCATGCCATATTTTCATTTTCATTTGTCTCCAGGAATTTTTTGATTTCTCCTATGATTTTTTCATTGACCCAATCATTGTTCACTAGCATTTTTGTTTAATCTCCACATTTTGATGGCTTTTCTGATTTTCTTCCTGTAGTTGATTTCCAGTTTCATACTTTTGTTGTCAGAAGAGATGCATGGTATTATCTTGATCTTCTTAAATTTATTGAGACTTATTTTGTGGCCTAATATGTGATCAATCCGAGGAATGTTCCATGGGCATTTGAAAGAATGTGTATTCTGTGGTTTTTGGATGGAGTGTTCTACACATATCCACTAAGTCCATCTGGTCAAAGGTGTCGTTTAAGGCCAGTGTTCCCTTCTTGTTCTTCTGTTTGGATGATCTATCCATTGGTGTAAGTGGAGTGTTAAAGTGCCCTAATATTATTGTGTTACTGTCTATTTCTCCTTTTCTGTCTGTCAATAAATTCTTTATATATTTAGGTGCTCCTATGTTGGGTGCATAGATATTTAGAAGTGTTATATTTTCTTGTTGGATTGTTCCCTTTATCATTATGTGGTGCCATTCATTGTCCCCTGTTACAGTTTTTGTTTTAAAGTCTTTTTTGTCTGATGTAAGTATTGCTACCCCTGCTTTCTTTTCTTTGCCATTTGCATGGAATATATTTTCCATCCTTTCACTTTCAGTTTGTGAGTGTCTTCAGGTCTCAAGTGTGTCTCTTGTATGCAGCATATATATGGGTCTTGCTTTTTTTAATCTAACTGGACATCCTTTGCCTTTTGATTGGAGCATTTAGTCCATTGACATTTACAGTAGCTATTGATAAATATGTATTTATTGTCTTTTTTTACTTTTTTTTCTGGGAGTTTTAGTTGTTCTTCTCGGTTCCTTTCTTTTTCTCTTGCTCCCTTCCCTTGTGGTTTGATGGCTTTCTTTAGTAATGTGCTTGATTTCTTTCCCTTACTTATTTGTTTACTCATCATAGGTTTCTGATTTGTGATTACCATGAGGATCCTATATAATATTCTATGTATATAACAGTCTATATTGAGTTGATATACTCTTTAGCTTGACCTCGTTCTAAAAGCTCTATTTTTTCACTACCCTCCTCCCACATTTTACGTTTTTGAAATCATATATAATCTCTTGTTTTGTGTGTGTCTACCCATTACCCTTTTATCATTGAGATAGGTAATTTTAGTACTTTAGTCCTTTAACCGTCATGTTATCTTCACAGGTGGTTGATCTGCTACCTCTACTGTATTTTTACCTTTACCAGTGATTTTATTACCTGGTTTTCTGGGGGGTTTGTTTGATAATTTTTTTATCTCTTTTTGTGGTCATCACTTTCCCAGTTAAATATGTCCCTTTGGCATTTCTTGTAGAAGTGGTTTCTTGCTGATAAACTCCTTCAATTTTTGCTTGTCTGGGAAGCTCTTTATCTCTCCTTCCATTGTGAATGACAACCTTGATGGATAGAGTCTTCCTGGCTGTAGGTTTCTTCCTCTTAGCACTTTAAATACGTCGTGCCATTCTCTTCTCGCCTGTAGGGTTTTGGCTGGGATGTCCGCTGATTTCCTCCTGGGCTTTCCTTTGTGTGTCACCTGTTGCTTTTCTTGCCACTTTTATGATTCTCTCTTTATCTTTAATTTTGGACATTTTAATTATAGTGTGTCTTGGTGTGGGTGTCTTTGGGCTTATCTTATTTGGAGCCATCTGTGCTTCTTGTACTTGGAGGTGTTTCCTTCCTTAGGTTAGGAAAATTTTCAACTATTGTTTCTTCAAATAAATTGTCTGCCCGTTTGTCACTCTTCTCTTTCTGGGACACATATAATACAAATGTTAGTGCTCTTGATATTGTCCCAGAGTTCCCTGAGACTGTTATCATTCTGTTTCTTTTTTTCTGTTCATCTTGGATGATTTCCTCTAGTCTTTTGTCTAGCTTGCTGATCCATTCTTCTGTATCATCTACTCTGCTAATGTGTCCCTGTAGTGGATTTTTCACTTCTAGCATTGTATCCTTCAATTCTGCTTGGTTCTTTGTTATATTTTCTAGTTCTTTGTTGATGAGCTCACTGTATTCATCCAGTCTTCTCCCAATATCTGTGAGCACCTTTGTTTATTTTATTTTTTATGTTTTTTTTAAAGATTTTATTTTTGTTCCCTTTGTCTCCCCAAAGCCCCCCAGTACATAGTTTTATATTCTTCATTGTGGGTCCTACTAGTTGTGGCATGTGGGACGCTGCCTCTGTGGGTTGATGAACAGTGCCATGTCTGCGCCCAGGATTTGAACCAACGAAACACTGGGACACCTGCAGTGGAGTGCGCGAACTTAATCACTCAGCCACGGGGCCAGCCCCTCTGTGAGCATCTTTATGAGTTTTTGTTCAAACTCTTTGTTGGGTAGGTTGCTTATTTCTGTTTCATTTAGTCCCTTTTTCTGGGGTTTTGTCCTGTTCCCTTGGTTGGAATGTATTCCTTTGTCTCCTCATTATGCTTCTTTCTCTGTGCTTATATCTATGTATTAGGTGAATCAGCTATGTCTCCTGATCTTGGAGAAGTGGCCTTATGTAAGACATGTCTTTTGAGGCTCACCAGTGTGCTTCCCTCTCGTCAGCAGTCCAAATGATCCCGGAGTGACTGCTTTGTGGGCTACTTGCGTCCTTCTGCTGTGGCAGGGTTGCGCTTAATGCAGGTACCCAGGGAGTCTAGTCTTTCCTTCCCTGGCCAGCTGTTTGTGAATCTGGTTTGGGGAGCCTCAGCACTGTTGGGTACAAGATCTAACAGCACACTCCTGTTACAGTTTTCCTATTAATTGGGTAGGTACCCAGTGTTTCAGTTGGCTAGGCTCAAGGGCTTACAATTGCTATGGGCCTCAGGCTTACAAGGCTGTTGTCAGTTCTCTTAGGAGTGCAGCTAAGTGGGGCTGGCCCTAGGCATGGGGGCACTCAATTGTTTCAGGATTTGGAAGATGGGGCTGATCTTTTTTATGTCTATTTCTGAAGCACAGGTTTTCTGCCACTGATAAGCCTCACCCCCCGCAGGGCCACACACACTGCCAACACAGTTCTGGTCCCTGCATACTTCCGAACCCCTGGGAGCAACCCCGATAGCCCACTGCAGAGTCCCACACCTCTCCACGAATGCCCCTCACAGTTCACCTGGTCCTTACACAGGCCCTTCCCCACAGAGTGGGACACACTCCCCTGCCTGTAGAGGATCAAGGCACCCAGTCAATGTAGGCTGACAAGTAGCCTGAGGGCTTGTTGTTGGGTGGGGCCATTGCCTAGGGTGGGCTGCCTGCCCTGGCTGAACTGGATTAAATCTGTGTTCTAGTGGGTGTGGCAGACCCCTGAGCTAACAGGCCAGGGGAAGACTTTCAATGGAGTCTGCCAGGTTCTGTGTCAGCATGCCTAGACTGGGTCACAACAATGGCCATCACTAATGTCTCAGTCTCTGGAGAGGTCCCTCCTCTCACTGAGATGGACCCAGAGCCCACCAGGTGAGTTTCTTGTCACCAAAGGACCGTCAGCCTTCTCTCCAGTGATTTTAGGTTGCTGAGACGGTTGAGTTTGTGCATGGGCCCTTTAAGACCCGGGTCTTTTTGGTTTTTGTCTGGTAACTTTTCTGGGGGTATTCCCTGCTGCAATTAATAACCAGTGAAGCCAGATAGTAAGATCCTCGTCTCAGTTGTGCTGAGTCTGAAGGATGCTTATAGCAGTATTGACCACTGCTCAGGACCTCACTCCTCCAGGGAGGGCTGCGGACCTTAGTGTGGGACCCGCGAGGCCGGCTGAGAAACTCCGCTGCTCCAGAAGGTGGCTTTTTTTCTCTTCATAAGGAATTTCTGCCTCTTCTGCCTTAGTCAGGACTGTCCCTTGTTGTGGGGGTTCTTTTTATCCAGTTTTCAGTTTTCTATCCAGGGGAATTTTTCCAAAAATAGTTGTAATCTGTTTGTGTTCGTGGGAGGAGATGAGTTCAGAGTCTCCTTACTCCACCATCTATAATCCTTGCAGTCAGTTATCTTTAAAGAATTTTTATGTTTGTAAGTTTGGCTTCTTTTTTTTTTTGGCATTGTACATAAGCCTCACCTCATGTTTTATATATTCATAGAACTATAAATGTGGCTGTGTGGGTCTTTTTATCTTTGGAAAGAATTGCACTGACATCTGACCTCCTGTAATAAAAAGTTACTTTGCTAAGATTATTAACACATCTGGAACAGAAGACCTTTTTGGTGTCCACAATGGTGGAATCAACTTTCTCTATAGATTACTTTCTATTTCTATGGATTATTTCTAAAAGTATTTTGCACATGATTTATCTCACTTAATGGCTCACAGTGATCCTTTGAATGCTGTCTCTGCCATCACTGTTGTGATGCTTGGCAAGTTACTTACTCTCCCAACCTTATTTCCTCATTTGCAACAAGGAGTACTCCAAAATACAACTCACTGCAGTGTGACGGGAGCATTCAATGAGAAAATTCATGTGAAACATTTAACACAGTGCCTGGTGCAGTAATAATCACTCAATAGCTATGAGCTTTATTCATATTGTTGTCATGCCCACAAACATCATAACATGCTCTGGAAAGGCATGCCTAATGCGATGCCTTTCATGGGAAATTTGTTCTCGTGGGAAATTTACCTAAACCAGGTCCTTTCAAATGTGAGATTCCGTTGTGGATTCTGAGAGTTGGTGAATTGATTTTGGTAGCGATGCTTCATTTCAGCAGTACGTACTGAACTCTGTACAGTAGTCACATTTTCTCTCCAGTTTTCCATTCGACAGGTATTTCTTCAACACCTCCTTTGTGGCAGGCACTGTGCTAGGATCTGCGAATACAGAAAGAAAATAAGATAGTTTTGGATATGATCATCCACTTGTGATAAAGAAGAAAAAAATGTAGTCTTTATGAAGTTCAAGATCTTCCTGTGCAAAAGCATAATAGCTGAATAAGATCTACTAAATTACATAGAATCAGATGAATTATTTCTGGAATCGTAGGGTGCATATTTTTAAGGATGGTCTCTCTGTCAGCAGACTATGTGTGCGTGTGTGTGCACATACACACATACTCATGTAGACAGATGCACACTGTTTAATAGTGGGCATGGATAATTGACTAATACTTGCTCTCATTTCTCCTAGTTGTCACCTCAATTTTCACTGCTACTGATTCTACAAAGGCTCATCCAAAAAAGGAAAGCAGTAAGTTATTGTCTGCGTTTGCCTCGGTGTCATGCCATAGGTATTTTTCCCCCTCCTGATCAGTGTGACGTTTGAACTTCTCAGGTTTAAAGTAGAAAAGATCAGGTATTCCTGGAATTGTGAGGCTCCTAATTTTCATATTTTTAATGACTGTCTCTCTTGTCTATCAGCTGATTATATACATGCATATATTTTATTGTACTATATATACAGAGAGTAACATATTTTGTGTATGTTTGCCTTCCTGGCATGCTATGACAGTTTTTTCCCTCCAGATCAAATTACCGTTTTTTTTTTTTATTTTTAAAGATTTTATTTTTTCCTTTTTTCTCCCCAAAGCACCCCGGTACATAGTTGTATATTCTTCAGTGTGGGTCCTACTAGTTGTGGCATGTGGGAGGCTGCCTCAGCATGCTTTGATGAGCAGTGCCATGTCCTTGCCCAGGATTCGAATCAAGGAAAGACTGGGCCGCCTGCAGCAGAGCGCGCAAACTTAACCACTAGGCCACGGGGCCAGCCCCCAGATCGAATTACCTTTTGAACTCCCTGGTTCATAGTGGATGAGACCAATTTTTCCTGGAATGGTTGGGCTCATATTTTTAATGACATCTCCCCTGTCTCTCTGTTGACAGATTTTATATACATATGTGTGTATATGTGTATATATCAATTGTCAAATAATAGGCATGAGCAGCTGACTAATAGTTTCTCTCATTTCTTCTAGTGGCCACTGCTATTAATTCTATAGAAGCTTGTCTAAAAGACGAGGACAGTAAGTTTTTGTATATGTTTCCCTGTACGTCATGCCATAGCATTTTTCTTCTTCCTGAACAACTTAACTTTTAAACTTCTCTGACTTAACGTAGAAAAATTAGAATGGGTGGATGTTGAAGAGTAGACTGAGTGATACTTTAAATCAATCTGTCATTTCCCAGGAGTCATCTTAACAAAGGAAATACCTGTTTGAGGATGAGGTGACCGTAAATTAGAGTGTGCAGTGATAGGCTCTGAATTATGTCAGCAATGGACTTCATTCATTTGTGTACCTTTTGTTTTTACTGACTGAAGAATATGGGACATCAAGGTGCTTCTGGATTTGTTTTTTAGTCTTTGGTCCTTGCTGGTATCTACTAACATGAACTGACTCTACTGAGAGCTTCCTACATAGAAGTCATTGTGCTGTGTGCTGCAGGCATTTCCTGGTTTATTCTCATAATACTCCTATGATGCGGTACAATATTTTTCTCCATTTCATAGATGAGGACAATGAGTCAAAATTAATTAAGGCCATTGCACCGTGTAAAAGGGATATTTCCACAGGAAGAGACTCAGCCTTGCAGTTCACTGAATAGCCAGTCTGGCTCACCATCATTGTCATTAATTATTTCTCGACATCACATATTTCTTGCAAAACTTCAATGGGTATTAAGTGCAATTGTACTCTATCATCATAGCCACAATCAGGGACATTTAGGAAGGACAGCTGAGTGAGCCATGACCTCCTAAAGTTTCAGAGAATTTGGATTTACCACTTTCTTCCGTTTTATGTTATGCCTTCTTCATAAATCCTCACACCCAGTGCACTGTGTAGACCACCAAATTTCCATGGATCGTACTCTTCGTAAGAATTGCATGCAGAATGTTTAATGGCTCAGATGCTTCTAAATCAGAATTCAACTTTATATTTGTGCTTATCCCTTTGATGTCTGGGGTATTAATTGCACTTGGAGATGCAGAATTACAAGGTACCTAAGAGTGTTCTTGAAAGTCATGGTGATGAGATTGAAATTTGGTCTCTAGTACATACTAAATGTAAGACATCAGGCAAATTACATCTCTATCCATAGTTTATTTGCAAAATGGGAATGAAAATAATAATCTCATAAAGCAAAATCTCATAGGTTTTTGTAAAACTTAAATATGATTAAAGCTTTGCTTGTAAAGATTTCAGAACAAGTTTTTGGCATTTGGTTAGTGGTTAATGAAGACTGGATATTATTAATACCTAGAGACATGGTGGGGGTGAAGAAATGCTAAAAGCTATTTATCGCGAATACTTTATTCCCATTGGACTCATTCAATAAAAAACACAGCATTACTTTTCATATCTTGGAATGTTCTAAGTGAATTTAGCAGAGGTTGTTGATTGACATGACCTGTAAATGGGATTCTTAGTTGTCTTGTTGTTGTTTTCTGTGGAGGTGGTGGGGGTAGATGTCTACTTTTGGGTTTGGGTGGTGGAGTGTCACAGCAACGCAGGTCAGCAGAAATAAATAACTGACCACGTTCCATTAATATATGCCATCTTTTCAACATAAGAGGTGAATCTAATCATCTGACTTCTCTTAGACACCCTGCAGCTCACCAGCACCTATGCCTATTACGGCTACCTCCTCCTCCTCCTCGTGAGCGCGGTCTACTTTGCCATCATCACCATCTGTTTGCTTAGGAGAACAGCGGCCTGTGCCAATGGAAAGAGTTTGTAACAGACGGTGGCACAAAGAACTCAACTTTTCTCATTGTTTAGTCTCCCTAAAACTGTCTGCCGAGGATCTAGCTGGGTTTTCTCTCTGGCTTTCAGTTATTTCAGGGCACATGTGTACTTTTCCATTACGTTGTTATTGTGTAGTGATTTTTCAAAGCACTGGACAAATAGAGACTTTTACTCTGTAACAACAATGAATGATTCTATTACGCAGGGGCAGGGCCATGGGGTAGTCCTTTAGCACCCCTGTCTCCATGATCTCCATCAGCTCCTCCAACAACCTAAATACCTATGCCTTCTGAGTACAGACAGCATGCAGCTATAGTCATGTCCCTTAGGGCCGTTTAACCAGATGACCACCTAGGACCCTTCCATTTTACTCATTCTGAGCCTGATATCTTTGCTATTTGAATTCTCTACTTTGTTTTCCATAACAGCCACAATAAAAAATTCAAAAGTCTACTTCTGTCTGTGTGTAGTTTAATTTGATGTTATTTAACTGAAAGTCCAGGGTAAGAAACAGCAGGACACCTGAGCTATCAGTTCCAGCATTGGCTGTAATGATGGTCAATGCCACAGTTCTAATTCTTCTTAGACAGTGGTCATGATGCTTTCCTTAGAGCACTGGCTCCAAGAGGAGCCACACCCAAAGGAAGGTATCCAGGTTATGTCACTTTCAAAGATCAACAGGTACGTACTCTTTTGCTTTGAGACATTCTGATTATGTCAGTATAACATCTAGCACAACTTTCACTGTGTGTACTCAGCTCTACACTAGTGTTTCACAAGCACTGTGGTCTCTGTTTGTCACAACAAGCCCATGAGACCTGCATTCACAGCAAGAGGCATTGTGGTGGAGGGGTTGAGCCCCTGGACTTTGAAACCCCAGTGTCTGGTTTGAATCCTGGGTCTAGTATAAGCATCTGTGTCCTCAGGCAAGCTATTCGAACTCTCTGTGCCATAATTTCCTCATCAGTAAAATGGAGTTACAGTGCCCTGCCTCCTGGAGTTGTGTGGATTAGATGAGTTGATACTGCCTGGTACTGGCAAGTCCTTAACAGCATTAGCATCCACTGTTGGCAGTTCTACTTTGGAATAGTAGACACTACACAACACAAAACACCAACAGTCATCTGTAATCTTATTTCCCCACAGACAGGTTAGCTGTGGATGGAATAGGGACTGTGACCTTCTACTATGCACCAGGCAACCCCGTTAATCCTCTAAGAACCCCTGAAGGTAGATAAAATTATAGTCCCCAGTGTAGATATGGAAGAAATTAGCTTTTACACTCAAGGTCACCGTTTTGTAAGGAATAGTCATTTATTTTTTTTTTATTTATTTATTTTTTTTAATTAATGTTATGATAGATTACAAGCTTGTGAGATTTCAGTTGTACATTTTTGTTAGTCATGTTGTGGGTACACCACTTCCCCCTCCGTACCCTCCCCCCACCCCCCCCTTTTCCCTGGTAACCACCGATCAGATCTCCTTCTCAATATACTAATTTCCACCTATGAGTGGAGTCATATAGAGTTCGTCTTTCTCTGACTGACTTATTTCGCTTAACATAATGCCCTCGAGGTCCATCCACGTTGTTGTGAATGGGCCAATTTCGTCTTTTTTTATGGCTGAGTAGTATTCCATTGTGTATATATACCACATCTTCTTTATCCAGTCATCAGTTTCTGGGCATGTAGGCTGGTTCCACGTCTTGGCTATTGTAAATAATGCTGCGATGAACATAGGGGTGCAACGGACTCTTGAGATATCTGATTTCAGGTTCTTAGGATAGATACCCAGTAATGGGATGGCTGGGTCATAGGGTATTTCTATTTTTAACTTTTTGAGAAATCTCCATACTGTTTTCCATAGTGGCTGTACCAGTTTGCATTCCCACCAACAGTGTATGAGGGTTCCTCTTTCTCCACAACCTCTCCAACATTTGTCGTTCTTGGTTTTGGATGTTTTTGCCAATCTAACGGGGTAAGGTGATATCTTAGTGTAGTTTTGATTTGCATTTCCCTGATGATTAGCGATGATGAACATCTTTTCATGTGTCTATTGGCCATATTCATATCTTCTTTTGAGAAATGTCTGTTCATGTCCTCTGCCCATTTTTTGATCGGGTTGTTTGTTTTTTTGTTGTTAAGCAGTGTGAGTTCTTTGTATATTATGGAGATTAACCCTTTGTCGGATAAGTGGCTTGTAAATATTTTTTCCCAATTAGTGAGCTGTTTTTTTGTTTCAATCCTGTTTTCCCTTGCCTTGAAGAAGCTCTTTAGTCTGATGAAGTCCCATTTGTTTATTCTTTCTATTGTTTCCCTCAACTGAGGAGTTACAGTGTCCGAAAAGATTCTTTTGAAACTGATGTCAAAGAGTGTACTGCCTATATTCTCTTCCAAAAGACTTATTGTCTCAGGCCTAATCTTTAGGTCTTTGATCCATTTTGAGTTTATTTTGGTGTGTGGTGAAAAAGAATGGTCAATTTTCAATCTTTTGCATGTGGCTGTCCAGTTTTCCCAGCACCATTTGTTGAAGAGACTTTCTTTTCTCCATTGTAGGCCCTCTGCTCCTTTGTCGAAGATTAGCTGTCCATAGATGTGTGGTTTTATCTCTGGGCTTTCAATTCTGTTCCATTGATCTGTGGACCTGTTTTTGTACCAGTACCATGCTGTTTTGATCACTGTAGCTTTGTAGTATGTTTTGAAATCGGGGATTGTGATTCCGCCGGCTTTGTTTTTCTTGCTCAGGATTGCTTTAGCAATTCGCGGTCTTTTGTTGCCCCATATGAATTTTAGGATTGTTTGTTCAATTTCTGTGAAGAATGTTCTTGGGATTCTGATTGGGATAGCATTGAATCTGTATATTGCTTTAGGTAGTATGGACATTTTAACTATGTTTATTCTTCCAATCCATGTGCAAGGAATTTTTCCATCTCTTTATGTCATCGCCTATTTCTTTCAAGAAAGTCTTGTAGTTTTCATTGTATAGATCCTTCACTTCCTTGGTTAAGTTTATCCCAAGGTATTTTATTCTTTTCGTTGCGATTGTGAATGGGATAGAGTTCTTGAGTTCTTTTTCTGTTAGTTTATTGTTAGTGTATAGAAATGCTACTGATTTATGCACGTTAATTTTATACCCTGCTACTTTGCTGTAGTTGTTGATTATTTCTAATAGTTTTTCTGTGGATTCTTTGGGGTTTTCTATGTATAAGATCATGTCGTCTGCAAACAACGAGAGTTTTACTTCTTCGTTACCTATTTGGATTCCTTTTATTTCTTTTTCCTGCCGAATTGCTCTGGCCAGCACCTCCAGTACTATGTTGAATAGGAGTGGTGAAAGTGGGCACCCTTGTCTTGTTCCTGTCCTCAGAGGGATGGCTTTCAGCTTTTGTCCATTGAGTATGATGTTGGCTGTGGGTCTATCATATATGGCCTTTATTATGTTGAGGTACTTTCCTTCTATACCCATTTTACTGAGGGTTTTTATCATAAATGGGTGTTGGATCTTGTCGAATGCTTTCTCTGCATCTATTGAGATGATCATGTGGTTTTTGTTTTTCATTTTGTTGATGTAGTGTATCACGTTGATTGACTTGCGGATGTTGAACCATCCCTGTGTCCCTGGTATAAATCCCACTTGATCATGGTGTATAATCTTTTTGATGTATTGCTGTAATCGGTTTGCCAAAATTTTGTTGAGGATTTTTGCATCTATGTTCATCAGTGATATCGGCCTGTAGTTCTCCTTCTTTGTGTTGTCCTTGTCAGGTTTGGGGATCAGAGTGATGTTGGCTTCATAGAATGTGTTAGGGAGTTCTCCATCTTTCTCAATTTTCTGGAACAGTTTGAGGAGAATAGGTATTAAGTCTTCTTTGAATGTTTGGTAGAATTCTCCAGAGAAGCCGTCTGGTCCTGGACTCTTGTTTTTGGGGAGGTTTTTGATTACCGTTTCTATTTCCTTACTTGTGATTGGTCTATTCAGATTCTCCATTTCTTCCTGATTCAGTTTGGGGAGATTGTAGGAGTCTAGGAATTTGTCCATTTCTTCCAGGTTGTTCAATTTGTTGGCATATAGTTTTTCATAGTATTCTCTTATGATCTCTTGTATTTCATTGGTATCTGTTGTGATTTCTCCTCTGTCATTCCTGATTTTATTAATTTGCGATTTCTCTCTTCTTTTCTTGGTGAGTCTGGCTAGGGGTTTGTCAATTTTGTTAATTCTTTCGAAGAACCAACTCTTTGTTTCATTGATCCTTTCTATTGTCTTTTTTGTTTCAATATCGTTTATTTCTGCTCTTATTTTTATTATTTCCCTCCTTCTACTGACTCTGGGCTTTGTTTGTTCTTCTTTTTCTAGTTCTGTTAGGTGTCGTTTGAGGTTGCTTACGTGAGCTTTTTCTTGTTTAGTGAGGTGAGCCTGTATTGCGATGAATTTCCCTCTTAGGACTGCTTTTGCTGCATCCCAAATGATTTGGTATGTCGTGTTCTCATTTTCATTTGTCTCCAGATAATATTTGATTTCTTCTTTAATTTCTTCAATGATCCATTGTTTGTTGAGAAGCGTGTTGTTTAGTCTCCACATTTTTGCACCTTTCTCTGCTTTTTTCTTGTAGTTGATTTCTAGTTTAATAGCGTTATGATCAGAAAAGATGCTTGATATTATTTCAACTCTCTTGTATTTATTGATGTTTGCTTTGGTTCCCAAAATATGGTCAATCCTTGAGAATGTTCCATGTGCACTTGAGAAGAATGTGTAACCTGCTGTTTTTGGATGAAGTGTTCTATATATATCTATTAAGTCCATCTGGTCTAATTTTTCATTTAATTCTATTATTTCCTTGTTGATTTTCTGTCTGGATGTTCTGTCCATTGGTGTTAATGGTGTGTTGAGGTCCCCTACTATTATTGTATTGTTGTTGATGTCTTCTTTTAGTTCTATTAAGAGTTGCTTTACAAATTTTGGTGCTCCTGTGTTGGGTGCGTATATATTTATAAGTGTTATGTCTTCTTGGTGGAGAGTCCCTTTTATCATTATATACTGTCCCTCTTTATCTTTCTTTATCTGTTTTGCTTTGAAATCTACCTTGTCTGATATTAGTATAGCGACACCTGCTTTCTTTTGTTCATTATTAGCTTGGAGTATTGTTCTCCATCCCTTCACTCTGAGTCTGTGTTTGTCTTTGGGGCTGAGGTGTGTTTCCTGGAGGCAGCATATTGTTGGATCTTGTTCTTTGATCCATCCTGCCACTCTGTGTCTTTTGATTGGGGAGTTCAATCCATTTACATTTAGAGTGATTATTGAGACGTGGGGGCCTACCACTACCATTTTGTGTCTTGTTTTCCGGTTTTCTTCAGTTTCCTTTGTTTCTCGTCCCATGGTTTAATCTGTTCTGATGTAGAGCTGCTACTCTCTGTTGTTGTCCTTCTACTTATCTCCTCTGCTCTTGGTTTTGTAGC